AAATGAAGAAGAAGAAGAAGAAGAAGAAGAAGAAGAAGAAGAAGAAGAAGTAGTTAAGTGATTGCAGGAGTATCACAATTGTTCATTCATACAATCAAAGTGAACGCAGGTATCTCATTCACACTATACCATTAAAGCACTCTTATACCACTTTAACAAGGGACGCAGGTGGCGCTGTGATCAAAACCACTGAGCCTCTTGGGCTTGCCGATCAGAAGATCAGCAGTTCGAATCCCTGTGATGTGGTGAGCTCCCCTTGCTCTGTCCCAGCTCTTGCCAACCTAGCAGTTCAAAAGCACGCCAGTACAAGTAGATAAATAGGTACCGCTCTGGCGGGAAGGAAAACAGCATTTCCGTTCACTCTGGTTTCCACCACGGTGTTCTGTTGTGCCAGAAGCGGTTTAGTCATGCTGGCCATATGACCCAGAAAGCTGTCTGTGGACAAACGCCGGCTTCCTTGGCCTGAAAGCGAGATGAGCACCACAACCCCATGGTCGCCTCTGACTGAACTTAACTATCCAGGAGTCATTTACCTTTACCTTTTACCTTACCACTTTAACAGTAATGGCTTCCCCAACAGAGTCCTGGAAACTATAGCTTGTCAAGCGTGCTGACATCAACAGAGCTACAATTCTGAGCATTCTTAGTCCCCAGATTTCTCCATGACTGTAAAAGGGGTATGAAGGTACTTTAACTGTATGTTGTGGTTGTAGCCAGAGAGTACCAGAAAATAAAATCAAGATTAAGATGAAGGGGGCATTATTCTACTTAATTTGCAAAATGTAGACAATCACATTAAAATAACGTTTAAATTCTATTAAACCAAAGTTATAGATATATTGGATGACCAAAGATGGGCAAGTCCTCAAGATCCAGGCAGTGCTGGGCAGAGGGATGCCTCTGCTCCATCCCAAACCCCTCCAGCCTGGCAAATAAAGGGTTTGGATTGATTTTCCCACAGCTTATCACAGCTCAGAGTTTAACATACCATCTGTCCATCTATTTCAGCTCTGCAAAATAATCCACATCCTAAGCATATGTAAAATGAGTAAATTCACTCAACAAAGCTTCTGTGTAACTATCTGACACAATTTCCTTTGCTTGAAATTAGACTCAGCCAAGATTTCATAAGTCTGTGAAAGCAAAGTTTACCCAGGCTTCAGATTTGATATAACATTAAATCAGAGTTTCAGCGGTGCTAAACTTGAAACTGTTAGTTTTTTATAATGATTTCTGGTTGATTTGCAGAATGAAAGAGAAGCTAGGAAAGTTTTTTTTAGAAAAGAATCTTGCCAACGGTTAAATAAATGCTACCAGGGAAGATTCTGCCAATTTTGTAAATGACTTTTCTGATACTATGTCCTCAGCTGATAAAAGGAAGAAACATTTGGCTGAGAAACAAAAGTACTACGTTCTCCTTGACCATTGGCAATTTAAGAAAGAGCTGCAAACATAGATTGAAAACATGCATTGCTTGTCTTACCCAACCCTTCCAGCAATTTCAGATGCATGTAGTTTTATTCAATTATTTTATTCTTTGTTTATTATTTAACACAAGCTAAATACTGCTTGATTGTAAGAAAATGTCTCAGAAGCAAACACCTGTGTAGTTAGTAGTTAATAAATTGCCCTATTCCCTATTCCATGCTAAATTTATCATATTTTGGTGCAAGAGTAACACATTATGTATGCATGTGCAAAATTGTATTTTTCTCATCACCTGTGCAGTTTACATAATCCCTAAAATCAATGGAGGTTGCATATGGGGAAATTCATGGGGAGGGGATGAAAACATATTTAGTATGCCTATACCATTGATTGCATTACATTAGATCCATCTATGGTGCACCCAGGTGTAAGTTTTCCCTAGTGCTTGTAGTGTTTTTGTAAGTAACAGGCATGCTGAATAAGTTTTTCTGACACTCATGGTACACCCAGGGACATGGACTCACAACATTTTAGACATGCAGGTAGATACTAGAAACCATTTTACAGCCATGTGCAACAGGATTCCAGACAAGCTTCCAAGAGTTGCAAGAAGAAAATTATAGAACTGTACAGTTGGAAGGGACCTCAAGGGTCATGTGGTCCAGTGCTTGGTAATGTAGGAATTGCAGCTGAAATATCCATTATAGATGGCCATCCAACTTCTATTAACAACCTCCAATGAAGGAGAGTCTCTCATCTTCCAAAGTAGTCCTTTCCAAACAGCTCTTAGCACAGAAAATTCTATTGTGGTTACAGAGTGGTACCTTGGTTCTCAAACTTAATCTATTCCAGAAGTCCATTCTGAAACCAAATCGTTCCAAAACCAAGGCGCGCTTTCCCATAGAAAGTAATGCGAAATGGATTAATCCGTTCCAGACTTTTAAAAACAACCCCTAAAACAGCAATTTAACATGAATTTTACTATCTACGAGAGTATTGATCCATAAAATGAAAGCAATAAACAAAGTATTGCAGTCACACAATCAATCAATCAGTAGCTGAGCTGGGTTCCACACAGTCACAAAAACAAAAGAGCTGCAAAAACAAAAACGCAATATAGATAGCAAAAACAGACAGACCTCAGTGTGACACTCAAAACGGAAGTGTGGCAATAAAATCGGAAGCATAACACTCAAAACGCAGCACGATCGGCTTCCGAAAAAGGTTCACAAACTGGAACACTTACTTCTGGGTTTGCCCTGTTTGGGTTCCAAGTTGTTTGAGTACCAAGGCGTTTGAGAACCAAGGTACCACTGTATTAATATTGTGCATATGGAAGCAATAGGATGTATAAAAACTGACTCTTCTTGAAATGAATATTGTCCAGTCCAAAAACATGGTTCCAAAGCTTTGCTAGCAGAACTTCTTTCAAAACAATAATGCTACAGCCAAATAGTTGCAGAATATCATGTGCTTGTCCAAACACAGGGAAAACGTCTTAGAAATATGACATTACTTTGTCCAAAGATGAAAACCAAGTTGTGGCTCTCCCACAACCTCCATTACAGCTCGTGGCTGTGGTCTCCTTTGTTGGCTTGAGAACAAAGACTAACCCAAAATGGATGCCCACAGATTAACATATGTATAGAGTGAAACACTATCTCTTGCACTCAACCTAAGTCAAGCACATGAGAGAGATAGTGTTGTTGTTAGTCGTGTCCGACTCTTCGTGACCCCATGGACCAGAGCATGCCAGGCACTTCTGTCTTCCACTGCCTCCCGCAGTTTGATCAAACTCATGCTGGTAGCTTCAAGAACACCATCCAACCATCTCACCCTCTGTCGTCCCCTTCTCCTTGTGCCCTCAATCTTTTCCAACATCAGGGTCTTTTCCAAAGAGTCTTCTCTTCTCATGAGGTGGCCAAAGTATTGGAGCCTCAGCTTCACGATCTGTCCTTCCAGTGAGCACTCAGGGCTGATCTCCTTAAGAATGGATACGTTTGATCTTCTTGCAGTCCATGGGACTCTCAAGAGTCTCCTCCAGCACCATAATTCAAAAGCATCAATTCTTCGGTGATCAGCCTTCTTTATGGTCCAGCTCTCACTTCCTTACATCACTACTGGGAAAACCATAGCTTTTACTATACGGACCTTTGTTGGCAAGGTGATGTCTCTACTTTTAAAGTAGAGAGAGAGATAGTAGAGGTACACTAACACCTAATCATTAACCTGTTAGGCATGCAGTGAGCTTCGGTATAGCTCAATTGAATTTCCCAATGTTAACCCTTTAACAACACACGTACAGAGCTATATGCCATTTCTATGGAAAATTAAACAATTATACTTAACAAGTTCTTCCTAATGTTTAGCCGGTATCTCTTTTCTGGGTTCTAGAGGGCTGGCCTACTTCCCTCAGTTGTGGTAGACGCACTTCACCATGGCCAGTGTTGAAGTGAGATTTAGCTGCCAGTCTAGTCAGCATCTCTACATGGAAATGGGAGAACAACTTGCCTTTAGGCTGCTTCTGATTATCCCAGGTGGATTGCTGAATAGGGCCACAGCCTGTTAAGCAATTGTGGCCATGCATTATTATGGATTAAGGATGGCATTGTTAGCTTCATGAAACATTTCAAGTAGGTCAGTTAGGTTTAGTAGTTGTAGCTGAAGCTATCCAACAGAGATTTCTGAAATATGGTCACAAAGAATTTTTAACATTCAAGGTAGACTTCTCTACCTTTTTTTAAAAAACCACCAACCCAAACCATCACTCTTTTCATAGAAGCAGCATATCAATCCTTTCTTGTAGAATTGTGAACTGTAACTCAGATGCGTAATCTCATTAGGCTTTGCTGATAAACCTTTTATTTATTCTGAGATCATTGTTCCTCGGCTGCAGTCAATAGCGCCACTCCTTGTAACAAAATGTTCACCATTATGAAAGAAATGTTCTTTGGTATTGTGTTTCTCTCTGCACCAATAGGAGGAACATGAAAGCTAATTTTTCTTCTTAAAGTCTTTCATAGAGGAAAGCTCTATATATTGCTAATGATGCAGGTGACGTGCCCGGAATTTTAAACTTGTGGCACGGAACTAGTTAATGGCAAAAAGCTATTTTAGGGCTGGCGACTGCTGCAAGGAATAAATAATTCATGGGCACTTTCCCTTTATGCCTTTTAAAAAACACATGTATAGAATGCTTTGTTGGAAAGTCACCATTAAGTTACTTGATGAGCTGAGTGTTAACATATCTAATGCATCTCCTTCTTACTGACATAGCTTTTACTAAATTATGTTACCATGTAGGCTCTAATTAATCAACAGAGCTGCATGCTCTTCCCATTCTTTTGAGATGGTCTTCATTAGGTCAGATACATCTTTTCAATGAAAAGCTCCTTTGAGCAGAATGCATGTGATGATTCTGATTCATAAGCCCTTTGCAAAAATTCTACTCATACGGTCATTGAATTTGTGAGCAGTGCTGTGCCACTAATGTGAGTGTGCTGATGTTGCCACCTCCCTGGAAGCCCACACTTAGTGGTGAAACTGCCCCCCTCCCCGCTACAGCTATTTCTGAGATGGTTCAGTTAGTACAGCATGAATCTCTTAATCTCATGTTTGTGGGTTCAAGCCCCATGTTGGGCAAAAGATTCCTGCATTGCAGGGGTTGGACAAGATAACCCCTCCAACAATTCTATGATTTGTATGCAGTGGACAGAGAGCTTTTATTGCTCACATACCATACAGTTTTACTGCTTGCGACAGTGGAATGTATGAACCAGGGATGTATTAACGATGTGCTTGGTGTACCATGGTACTAATGGAAAAATATTTCCATTTTTTGTCTTCCATAACAAAACATTTTGTATCGGAGGGCTCCTGGACAGTGAGCAGCCTAATTAATTTGAGCTTGATTTGCCACCCTGGATCACAGCAAGATAATGATTCCACCTCCAGGCGATCTCTTCATTGCTGCCATGACAACCATTGGCTGGTCAACGTATAAGAGGCCAAACACATGGAGCTGGTCACAAAGTGGATTTATTATTGTGCTTTGGCTCAGGAAAAGGTTATAAATAAATAAAGATGGCATTATAGTAAGAATGGTATTGAGCAATGGTCTCATTAGCAGCCATATTTGAATATAGCTAACAGTGAAACCCACCCTTTAATCTTCAAATAGAAAGAGAAAAAGTAGTCAGTGCACCCATTTACTTTCTGCAAACTCCACAGGAAAACTGTGGCCATTAAAACAAAACAAAAAATTCTGAAGCATCGAAGTTCCAATGAGAAATGCAGAAAAATTGTTCTTCAGAAAATTCTGAAGAAATTAATATTCCCCAGACACTGCTTCACATCCTTATAAAGCAAAATGTTTGCTGAAACTCTCTACAGAGCAGCGGATATTTTCCTAGGGTTGATCCTCAGCCATGAATGCATCTGTGGCCTTCGACAAAGCATGCCATTACCACTGAGCCTCAGCCATGATATAGCATCATCTCCAGGGACAAATCAATGGGCAGGATCAAGGAGCAAGCCCAGAGACACAGGTCTAAACCAGGTCTAAAGGGGAAATCAGGGGGCAGAAACAAGCAGCATGTCAGAAGTCTCAACCTGAACAAGTCAGAACTGAAGGACAAGGCCAGGAGCAATGAACAAGCCAGACATCAGGGCCAAAGAACTAGTCAGGGCTAAAGGGCAAGCCAGGGACCAAGGACCAAGGCAAGAGTCACAAGCTAAGACCAAAGTGCAAATCAGAATTAGAGGAGAAGCCAGGAGGCAGGGACATGACAGAGCTCAGGAAGGCCATGTTGTTTGAACAGTACTCGACTGGAATCAGAAAACTTTGATACAATTTTCTGCTCAGGGTGGAGTCAGTCCAGAACCTGAAAGTAGTTCACTGAGAAGGCTACTACCTGCAGCTTAGTTTACCACAAGGGGCTGCCTCACATGGATCCATCAGCTCTTGGTACTATGAGCTATTCTATCCTAAATTAGAAGGGAGAGCTGCCAGGCTGCTAAGGGCAGTTTATCTGCTCCTTGAAGTGGATGAGAAGATTTCCACCCACCCAAGTTAAAAGAAAAGTGGGAGACAAGGTGTTCATATGACAAAATGCTTGTCTAACCTTCATCCTGCAAAGACTCTTTCTCAGGGCATTTCAAACTTCACACCATCTCCTTATCTAAATTTCAATTATTATTTTTCCTTCTATTTAGACCCAAATGTACCAGTTCCAACATTATTCCGATTGTATTATATCAGAGTTCTGGAAACTTAGCTGAACCTCTTTTAAGAAAGGGAGCAGTGTTGTGCTCTCTTTCATTTAAGAATCAAGAAGCCATAATTCTACATAGCTAGCAGCTTTTATGCTTCAAAGCCCCTGTAATTCAGTTGGCTCCTCTAATAGGATTATATTTCATAGAAGTTGAATACACCCTTTATGCTTGTGTTGCTCCACAGAGAACATGCAGATTGGGATATTGCATAGGGAATGTTGGTTGTGTGGGCCATCATAATAGTAATGAGATTTGAGAAAGTGTGTGGTCCTGTAACTTGAGGGGTGGTTTATGAAATGGAGGACACCGATGCCCAAATTAAACGGTACCTTCATTTGTAACCCCAGTGATAATTGCTTTAGTACTTTTCGGATTTGACTATTATGAATTCAAATGATATATATTTCTCATAATGTCTTTGAAAAAAGGGAGTGAGGTGTTTATGAGTGAAGAGATTATGCAAAACATTGTTTCTGTGTAACTGGCAAATAATTGTGAAGCTATTGTGAGGGTTTTTCTTGGGGGGGGGGTGACCTGGTGCCCAACTGAAGAAGCCCCATATTGAGTCAACTGAATATTTGATGATTATGGAAATTGTCCGGAGAGGGCGTCTTCCTGTTTCCCTTAATGAAGAAAGTGCATTTATATGGCTGCTGAGGCCAAGTCGCTTTCATCCTTGGTGTTTGGTTTAAAGCCAATGCAAAGACACAGGGCTATGCTGAAACCCTGACAAAAAAAATGTCTGTGTTGTTCTGCTCAGTATTTGAATGCTACTCTGAATATGGATCAGCCTTATCACATTAGGATTCCCTTGGCCTAGCTATCAAATCAGGTATTTGTGTCCTTGGCATGGAGTTTGTACATAATTAGGTGAGGTTTCAGCCACCAAATGAACTGGAAAGAGCTTTTAGTAGCCTCTGCATTAGTGCTGCAACTTGTAAAGCAGATTTTGAATAAGTCTGGGCAAGCGGAAACAGTACCCATAAGGAAGATCTTTGAAGTAAGGATTCAGGAGGCAATTGCATCCCACTGATGCAGAATTTAAAACCAAGGCAGAAATATATTTTTAGTTGACTTAATTTCATAAGCTAAACTAATCATAAAATTGTGCTAAATCTTCCATCGAAACAGCTTTCCAGTTAAAGGAGGAAAAACGGTATTTGATAGTGCAATTCTACTCAGGTCTACTCAGAAGTACATCCTAATGAATTCACTAAGGCTTACTCCCAGGAAGTGTGTACAGTGATACCTTGGTTCTCAAACACCTTGGTACTCAAACAACTTGGAACCCAAACACTGCAAACCCAGATGTAAGTGTTTTGGTTTGCGAACCTTTTTTGGAATCCGAACATGCTCTGTTTTGAGTGTTACGCTTCCATTTTGAGTGCCACGCTTCTGTTTTGAGTGTTACGCTGAGATCTGTCTGTTTTTGCTATTTATTTTGCGTTTTTGTTTTTGCAGTTTTTTTGTTTTTGTTTTTGTGACTGTATGGAACCCAGTTCAGCTACTGATTGACTGATTGTGTGACTGCAATACATTGTTTATTGCTTTCATTTTATGGATCAATGGTCTCATTAGATAGTAAAATTCATGTTAAATTGCTGTTTTGGGGGTTATTTTTAAAAGTCTGGAACGGATTAATCCATTTTGCATGACTTTCTATGGGAAAGCACGCCTTTGTTGTCAAACGCTTTGGTTTCGGAACAGACTTCTGGAACGGATTAAGTTTGAGAACCCAAGGTACCACTGTATAGAATTTCAGCATAAGAAGAGGATTCACTTTCTGGGTACATGGGTTCATTGCTGTCACAATCATATACATGTTTATTCAGAAAGAAGTCTCATGGTGTTCAGTGGGCTTACTCCTATGTAAGTGTACGTAGAAATGCAGCCTAAGCTTTTCTAGTACTCTGTTTGGAAACTGATTCAGCACTGCTGAGTTCTTTCAATAACTTTCAAATCTAATTACAAATGTTCTTTAGGAGGGGGGAATGAATGCTTGATTCCATGCTACAGACTCACAAGTTATTTAAAGTGGAGGAGAGCATAGTAGCAACTCTGGGTATTATTAACGAGGACAAGAATCAGTACAGATTTGGTCCTGCACTTTCTATGCCAGACACTGGAACAGGTACTGTGCTATAATTACCTGCCATCTCTTTTATCCCCACTTGTTTCTTACAATAGTTGCGTGGTAACATGGCTGTAGTTGTTAAATTCACATAGGATTTTCTCCTCGGAGCGTTTTATCTTAAAAAAATGACATTGAACACAAAGCAGCTAGGACTGTCTGACAAACTTCAAAGGCCTTCTTTTCATCCAATTTAACTTCAAAAATTGAATTCAGTGTGGCACCACGGATAAGGTGATACATTTTGACACGGACAACCTGGGTTCAAATCTCTATTCAGATATTCAGTTGGATAGATTTAGGCGGGTCACCGTTTTTTTTGTGAAGAGCTAGCTGAAAAGAAAGTTTGCTTAGTTGATCTCTACAAATTGATCTCTAACAAACTGTCATGCCCTTGGATCACGGTTCACAACTGATCACATAATACAAGGAAAAATAGGGGAAGATATTATTTGAAGAATGTGAGTTGAGGTGACTTTGTATTCCAGAATGCCCTCCAGAAGTAGAACTATCTTAGAGGGCACTTCCAGACTGTCACTGTTTGACCATTTCCATGTGGGATTCAATAGCAGCCTGTCAAATTCAGACTGAAAAGCTGATTTGGAGCTCCTGAGAAACAAACATGCTTCCTCAAAAAATCAGACATCTTGCAGTAAGGAAAGTGGGGTATAACACTTTTAGTTCAACAACATCTGTAGGGCACCATCTTGGGCATCCCCGAAGTAGCGCAGTCTTCAACATAAAGGGTCCGCCCTCCTTTTCCTCCAGATTCTCTGTCTCTGTGAACACTCCTAACATAAAAAGCAAACCTCCTCCCACCAAATCCCTTTCCTGAAGTGTAACAAGAGAGAGAGAAATGGGTTAATGATAAGATTTAAGACTAATCCCACCCCTCTTACCCCCAATCCATTTTTAAACAAGCTCTTAAACTTTAAAGAGATTGGCCAGAAAAATTGAGGATGCAGAATAAAGGTCAGGCCTTAGGTTGTAAAGTGTAAATTAAATCTGTTGTGGGTACAATTAATTTATGCTAGTAGTGTTGGAAGGCAATTTGCTCTGCTGGATGGAAGGCATAAAATTAACTTGCATCACTGCCCAATGTATCAGACTATCCCATTTGACCTTGTTATTGATGAACTGCAGGGAATGTTTGTGTCAAGTAGAATGTTAATCTATGAACACCCTGGGTGGGAGAAACGCAAAGACAAAGTTGACTTTGTCTTCTTAAAGTGTAGCC